AATCATTTACTCAGACGAGTGACAGGAGCCTTAAAAAATTCCCTTCTTCTGACCTAAGTCAGTTATTTTCTGGCCAATAGGTTTCCCAAGTACAGGTTTGCAGCTGCTCCGGTGTCTGCCAGATGAGCCTCACATCTGACATAATTAAAAGTTATCAGTGATGAAAAGTTTATATTATTATGTTTAAACTGAATAAGAACATTGCTTTGTAGCTTTCTGAGCTATAGTAGACAACAGTGCCACTCTGTTTTTTAGGGGCCTAAATGATTCTTGATGTGACTTCAAAGAATCTTTTGTTTCACATATAAGTATAAGTACAAGGCAATCTGAACAGACAATCAGAGAGGGAGCAGTTCACAGAATTCACCCGTGAATTTTTTTCAGGCACCCTTTCATTTGTAAAATACATTGTATGTCCTAAATATAACTGCCACAACAGGACCAGCCGCATAGAAGTGCATTTACAGTTACCTCTCTTTCTGTTTTATTTTTTGAATTTCAAACAGGTGATGATCCTAACAGGTGAAGGAGGCAAATTAAAACGTAACATTCCATTGGTCAGAGGCCGTGACTTTGAGATCATCCCTGAACCTGTATGGAGAGCACTGCAACAGTGGTATGGAGGAGGACCTGCTCTACCAAGAACGGTACTAATTAATTTATAACATTACGGAAATGGACCTGTTTCCACCGTCTTGCAAAATTGCGATGTTTAATGCTTTCTATAGACCTTTTCAGCATTTGGCTTTAGTGAGTGCACAATGAAATGAGTTCCAAGGCTTGGGTACCCATGTTCACAGAAATGAATTAAGTTACAGTCTATTGAAATAAAAGATGTCTACTTTGATTCATTCTGCTGAATTCAGTAGACCTGTAAGGTCCCTTTTACAACCGCCTAAATTCATGAATTTATTAATGTATCCCAGGGAGCAAGCGTGGTCTCCTGGCTTACATTTCGTTAGAAATTTTGGCAGTTTTGGAGTCTTGAATATGGTGGTAAGCCGATCATCAATTAACATCTATCACTGATGGAATACCTTAAGTGACTCAATTATTGTGGAACAATAAACCTGTTAGTGTACTATAGTCAAACCTCCACTAGCAGCCACCTCTCCACAGTGGCCACCTCTCTCCAATGGCCAGTGTTTTTGGCGGACAGTCCATACTTTGACTCTTGTTTAAACCTCTCTACAACGGCCATCTCCCTACAACAGCCACTTTCTTCTGTCCCCCAGGTGGCCATTGTGGAGAGGTTCAACTGTATTTTATATTTAGTTTTAACCTGTGGTTCATCGCTTTACTTGTTTACCTAAGTTCTCCATATTATTCCTATTATTCTGATTAATTTTATGGGTCTGCTTATAGTCAAAATCATTGTTGTGAAGAGAAAATTAATATAGATTGGTATTTTCATTGTTTGTTCCCAGGTGATCAATCCTACAAATGGTGACCCGACACCTGAATTAGAACTATATCCCATCAGCTTGAGGCTATTCCGACACTCTCCCCCTCCCACCCGGGGTGGCATCACGACATGGACTGGAGTTGGCTTTGGATTAAGTAGCTTTGGATTTGGAACCAATTCTCTAGCCACTCCCCATGCTCCACCCAAGAGATATCTCGCCTATGTGGCGTCATTTAGTCGAATGAACACTATACAGCAGGTTAGACAAATGTTTACTGATGTTAGTTTATCTGAAGTTAAATTTTATTGGTGTGCCGATCACTGATCAAAATCTTTAACCAACGCAATAATTTATCATGGAAAATGTTCAGTTGATCAATATGGGAAAAATAATTTCTTGTTGGGAAATAAATGTATTATTAACCTTTTAACATATGAAAATCTCGTAATAAAAGAAGAAAGAGAATTCTATAACCTGAAAGCACAGAAAAAATTCTGAGCTCTTAACCTCCAGGACCCAGTTGTTCTAAAGGTGGATAATGCCATCCACTGGATAAGTATCTACCCAGTGGATAGTGCGATTGGTTTCCCTAATACTTATTCACTGGATTTAGTGATTTAAATGTAATTTAATTGAGTTAACCACCACAAGCTTAGCGGTCAAAGCGGTCCACAAGCTTAGCGGTCAAAGCGGTCCACAAGCTTAGCGGCCAAGAGGGTCCACAAGCTTAGCAGGTATCCAGCGGTCAATCCCATAAGTGCAGGCTAACATGGTATGTGGTAGCTTTGTACACTGCTAGGATCTGGGAGTTCTTCATTGAGCATTTGTGCAGTGGTCTGTGGAGTGGTTCATTATTTTAGCGTCTCCCCCCTCCCATCCCTTATATTTCTTCCCTCCACTGTTTCATCAGTATCATGGGTGCCTGGAATGGGCGGTTATGGCTGGGTTGCAGGGATTTGCCAGCCATGGGGGCAGTATTCTGTCTAGGGGCTGGCTGGCCACAGTGGTAGCCCCTGGGTATCCCAGGCACTCACCTCCCACTTAAGCGAGGCAACTGATCAATCAGGGGTTAGGGCCATCCAATGTTTGAACAACCGGGGCCAGGTGATTGGTACAAATTTAGTCCAATTAAGTCTAACAGTTACTACATTTAAATATTTGCAGAACAGACGATAGTTATTTATGTTCTTTGCCCTTTGAATTGCAGTAATAGAGCAACTCACAGGAATTATTTATCGTATAGAACAGTTTCGTCTAGTACTACCAGCTAAACATTCTGTTGCTGAGTAAAAATCACTAGATCTATGTTAGTTTGTTCATGCTTTTATTGGCTTTGTTCTAGGTGTATGACTATCTTTGTGCACGCCTTAGAATTCGAAATGAAGATATGCGTCTTTGGAGTATGGAAGATGAGGTATGCATGCTATGATTTTTTGCCCTCTTCATCTTAAAGTGGGAAAAAAGTGGAGGTAAACAACTCTCTCTAACCCCATAGACATGAAAAGTTGGGCTCTTAACATAAGGTGACTTTAGAGCACTAACTACTCCACCTATGTTACACCAAAACTTGTATTAAGTCGGCCCACACAGGACTCTATACTGTTCACTTCGTGGAGGTTTTTTTCAAGTAGAGGTTTGTGGTATGGAATAATGCAAAAAGAAACCTTTCTATCTCATTGACGCTCCTGTCCGCTTAATTCAGGGTGTCCACTTACTATGAGGTCAGCTAACACAAGATTCACTGTAATACTTGTACTTGTGTACTTCAATTCAAGGTTTTAACTGTTCATGTTGCTGGCAGGAGAATGATAATGATTATAATGACTCATCATTACTTACTAGTAGTATTTAAACAATATTGAACCGTACATTGTTTTTATTAACAGACTAAATTAAGATTATTAGAGGAAGACGGTTCTTCTTTAGAAAAGATGGAAATCAAGGACAACCATCCCGTACTGATTGAAGGTTCGTTACAAAAATGGTTGTGAAAAATGTTGCTTAGTTGGTATATGTTATATTCAAAGAATAATTTTAGTGTGAGTCTCTCTAATTGAACTATGTAATGTAAATATGTCTTTCCCCCTCAACCTCCATTAGTTCCTGGGCTATTTGTGAGTGGGAAAATTATGTAATAATTTATAGTTGCATTTCAAAAAAAAAGTAGCTGTTAAATGTATACATAAAAGCTCTACAAGAAACCAATGGCCTAACCATGTACTTAATACCTTGTCTAGATTTGATTAACCCTTGTAAAAAGGCCATGGTAACAAAAGGCTCTTGATCCTGCATTGTTATTAACACTGCTGTTAAAGCAAATGTTTTTGCCATTAATACAATTGTTGTATTATTAATGTTAATGTATCTTTGATGCTACAATTTTTGACTGTTTTTTTTGCTCCGTGCAGTTCGCAACAGGGACATGAGTTGGCCAGAAGAGATGTCCTCCTTGGCAAATAATAGAAGTCTAAGAGAAAAGCTTAATCTAGGTAGAGGCAAACAACCTATGGGTTAATATATGACTGTGTAATATTTATGTGTATTATCATCTAAATTAGGGACAATAAGACAGTGACCCCAGGAAAAAGTTTGCTTAAAAAGTTAATGTGCATTCTTTCAATCTTCATAATGATTATTCCATCTCACCTTCTTTGTCAAATGTAGGCGAAGTTCCCTGGAGTTGAATTCCTAACAACCATATCCAAGTTCAGAAAGAGAAATACAATTTTGTCAGGCATGCACATCCTCCGTAAAGCATGGAAATAGACATTTTCATGTCATAGTCCAGTGATGGCAAATTAAATGTGTCAGGGTTATTGTTTTGCATATTAATCGTATTGCTTTTTTGATGTACTCATTGCCGTCGCCATTGCGTGTCAAGTATGATCCTAGTATATGGCCTTGCCCTCCATGAGTTCTCCATAGTTCAAGTGGATAGAGCGCCCGCCCAGTGTTTGGAAGATCATAGGTTCGAATCCTGTCGGGGACGCAGATGTTTTCTTTGTCCCACGCTCTTGACGTGCTGATTATTTCGTTTTCACATTTGTTTCACTGAGCTTAAAATTTAACATCTTTCATTTCTTTCAAGAGAAGAATATTAACAAGAATAGTCCCCATTTTAACGCTTGTGACAACTTATAAGAAAAAATGTAAATTCTAGGTGGTGAACTCCATGGGCAGGTTACACACAAATTCAATGCCGAGTGCTGTTTCTCATTGTAGAACCTACAGAAAAAGGAGCAACTGGCCTCAGCAACTTGGGTAACACATGCTTCATGAACTCAGCACTACAGTGTCTCAGCAATACCCAGCCTCTCACCCTGTACTTTACTGCCAAATGCCATTTATATGAACTTAATAGGTGAGTAAGCAGGAATATAAACTGACATGCTTGGATTTATTTTTATTATTAGTTTTTTAATTTCCTTGTCAAAACGCATAAATTTTTTAGTGAACTGTAGGGTCATGTGGAATGCAAAGTTTTTGCCAGAAGGGTGTCCAGCCATCCAATGGATGCCCATTTTTTGAAGAAATACAAGGAAAATTCACTTAATCTCTTATAATTTTATGGGAAAACATACCTTCTGAACGGCCACTTTTCAATGCCTGGCTAAAAGCCTGGTGGGACGTATGTCCTGTAGTCTGCTACAGTATTGTCAGTTCTGAAGATCGTGGTGAATTCATTATGGTGAATTCCTGGCTCATTTGTAGACATACATGTCCTGCAAATTCTGGGGATCATCAATGATGATAGCATTTATTATTGTCAATAACAAAAGTGACAAAGTTTACCCAGTTTACAAGTGCCTTACATACATTGTACATTTACATATGTGCATTTGATTACGTTCCAAAGTTTTTAGACAAGGAAAAGAGGTGCATCGTATAATTCAGTGTTTCATTTTTGTAGGACAAATCCCCTGGGTATGAAAGGCCACATAGCACGTCGTTATGGAGACCTTGCCCAAGACTTGTGGAGTGGCAGTTCTCGCAGCTTAGCACCACTGAAACTTAGGGTGAGTGTCAGTCTTGGAAAAAAAATCTTATATTAATTTTGTAATCTGTTGTGGGCCTAAGAATGGTAATAAAAGCAAATTTGACTTTTTTTCTTGTAGTGGACAATAGGAAGATATGCACCAAGATTTAATGGATTTCAACAACATGACTCACAGGTTGGTAATCAAGCAACAATTCGCCTTCTGTTTCTGCAGGGTTGTCAGAAAGTTTTGAAGTAGACGGCTGAGTTGTCAAAGTAAGAGGCCAGTCCAGGGATATTTTACTTAAAAAACGCTATCCGTAAAGAAATGCTGAGCAGAGTAGCCAGCCGATACTAACCAAGTAGGTGGCGACTTTCGCTGGCAGCCGGCTACTTTTGACAACCCTGTTCTTCCTTGTTCATTCCAATTCTGTAGCTCAAAAGGTGTCAAATTAGCCTGAGGAAAGAGCCAACATTTTGTGACTCCACGATTTGTTTCATAGCAAAATGACATCTGAGGAACAGCAGGGTTCACACAGTCTTGAAAAGTCCTTGGATTCCATTTTTTCCTTGAAAAGTCCTTGGATTCCATTTTTTCCTTGAAAAGTCCTTGAGTTTTCTTCAACTTTAAATGGAGTGGCCTGGAAAGTATTTTTTGATGCTTTTTGGTTGTCAAAGACAGAATTTAAATCGTAGCTCAGAGAAACTGAATGTTGTTAATTTCCACTTCTTCTTCGTGTACAGTCCACTCCCAATAACTCGAACCTTCAAGGGAAATCGAAAAAAAGTTATCGGGAGGTCGAAGCAAATTGCCTGAAGTAAGGGAAAAACTAGTTTTTACTGTACAATGAACATTTTAATCACATTTAGCTGTAGAAATCCAGGGGAAATCAATTTTGGTTCAAGTTAGCACGAGGTTCGAGTTAGCATTGGTTCCAGTTATCGGGAGTCGACTGCAGTTAATATACGTATCAGTTTTGTAGCTGTAACTTTTGTTCTAAATTATGAAATTTATCTGGTGCTTTTGTTTGGAAGGAATTTCTTTCATTTCTTTTGGATGGTTTACATGAGGACTTAAACAGGTGAGGTTGCTTTGCTGCTTCCTTTCCGCATAATGCAAGGAAGTAAAATTATCCATTTTTCATTTAAGGATAGCAACATAACTGATGTTCATACCACTGGATATCCATTTAGGTCTTACACAGCACTTTGTAAAGTTTGGTTTTAGAAACTCCTTCCCTAAATGTCTTAGAAGTTTGTGAAAGCTTGCATTAGAGGAGAATAAGTTTACTGTAGGTGTATTGTAGGGTTACAGTATGTGACTCTCAAAATGGGTGTTTACAAGAAAGCGTCAAGAGATGATGAATATACAGAAATCAGTGTGGAAACTTTTGTGCACTATTCTTGGTACTGTAAGTGATTTTTGCTGTGTCATGTGATTGCAGAGTACATCTCAAGCCTTACGTTGAACTAAAAGATAGTGATGGAAGACCAGATGAAGAAGTAGCACATGAGGTATGACAAGCTTTGCTATTGAAATAAAATGTTTATATATTGCTCTTATAAACATTGTCAAAACTAATGTCAATTACCATGTACAGTATTTTCTTTTTTTTGAAAATTTCCGTCATAATTTCCGCGGGCATAAATTTTGCTAACCAGATTATAAAGTTTATTATCCAAGAATCTGTTCTTGAACTTACAATATATTAACTATTGAAATAAGTGCTAGTAAATGGGGCAAACGTATTGATGGATTGGTTCAAAACATTGTTTGGTTAGACTCATCAAAATGCAATAAGGTGAATTCATTTTTCAATTCTTTGTGGAGAGTTCCTCCTTCTTGTTTTAACTTTTCTTTGTATTGCTGTAGGAAGCCTTCCATAGTGTTTGAAACTGCTGGCACTTGTTCTTTGTTGGTTTCCTCGATCTTCCATTTCCTCTCCACAAATTTTGGGCGGCGACCATTAATTTTCTGAAAAAGTATCAAAGGGTCTTTGCATCTGATCTGTGTAATAAACAGATTGCACAAACAAGCCACTTCCAAACAATGCAAAAAACAAGATGCTGGAGATATATTAAGGTTTTGTCCAGATCCCCCTATCCAACAAAAGTCTGGTTACCTCGGGTCGCCTTGAGTTCTGTGAAATGCGCTTTTTTCATGTTGTTTCACTATGCTGTAAGCATATCTTGTAAAACAACATATATTTCGAGATGGAAAACAATCTTATATAAAAAAGAAATGCATCAGCCTTTTCTGAAAATTAATATTCATTATTTACAAGGAGAATTTCTATGAATGAAACTACTTATTGTACTAACCATGTCAAGTTACTTCGGCAAGTTTTAAGTAACCAAACGTTTGAAACTTACTAACTTGTTTTCTGGGGTCAGTGAGTGTTATTAACTCAGCCATTTGTGATTGACTTTAGGCTTGGGATAACCATCTCAAAAGAAATCAGTCTGTCATTGTGGACCTGTTTCAAGGGCAGGTAATGTTTAATCCTTCCGTGAGGGTGGATATAAAATCAAGAATAATGCAAATGTTCAGTTTTGGAATTCAGCTGAGAGTTAACTTCATTTGCGTTTATCCTATTGTTTATTACAGCTCAAGTCTCAAGTCAGATGCTTAGAGTGTGGTTATGTCAGTGTGAGGTTTGATCCATTCACATTCCTCTCCTTACCCCTTCCTATGGACAATTCAATTTATGTGGAAGTTATTGGTGAGTTTATTTTGTACATACAGTGGAACCCCGCCTTAAGTCCACCTTGTTAGTATGGCCAAATTTTTTGGCCCATTGGTGACTGTATTAATGGGGTTCCACTTTACTTACCCGTTCCTGGGCTAAAAAAAACTTGACTTCCAGCTGAGCCTATTGCACAAGCAGCTGTCCAATTTCGCCTGCCCCTGGTTACTTTTTCCTTGTCTTAGTTGATGATTTTGTTTGAAGATGACGTGTCTGGACTCTTGACCATTGTCCCAGACTACCACTATAGTCAACTCTCTTGCAACAAACCCCTCTATGTGATGGGCAGCTCTGTAAAACGGACACCTACAGTTGGTCCCTGCCTTTGTTTACTCCTTCTAGGTTACTCTATGTGAAACAAACATCACTATATAAGAGGGATACATAAAGCAGGTCCCAAAGATGCCCGTCTTAGAAAAGAGTGGACTGTTCTTCTGTTCATTTTTAAATTTCAAAAACCTTCCTGCCGACGTTTGTGAATATTGATTTTTCTTAGGTTGAGGGTAACCTTGTATCTATGTGTCCTTAGTGTTTGTATTTAGCGGCGATTTTTAATATCTGATTTGAAACCATTATGTTGCTTTAGGAGCTGTTTTTATTGTTTACATTTGTTTGTTTGTTTGTATAGTTGTCCATCTTGAGGGCTCCACTCCCACAAAGTATGGTTTGCTTCTCAATAATGACGACAGATATAAAGCCGTCAAGAGAGAATTGTCAAAGTACTGTGGCCTTGTCTCTTCACAGCTTCTTCTCGTTGAAATATTTGGAGCTTCTGTCAGGGTAAAATACATATTGCATGATGTAAACAAACACAAAACAGTCAGAACCAAGCTAATCTGTAGCTCATGCACACATTATATTATTGTCACTTTGTTACTGACTGGAATGGCTGGACCATGTACTGCTGGTCTTCATCCAGCAATGGTGTCAATTTACTGTGCAGGACTTAAGCAATATTATGGTTGCCTAGGAAATATTGTTGGTTGTGTGACTGCATTGTGGTCAATAATTACCAAGGGACTATTACGAGACACAATGAGCAAGCCTAATGTAGACCATAATGAATCATGATTGTCTCTTGTTGTATAAAGTAGTTGGTTTCAACCAATGATATCATTATAATAATATTATAAATTTCGATGCTTGACAGAGCTTACCAACTGATATGCAGAAGATCCGCACAGCCTTAGCTGGTGTGCTTTATGCCTATGAAATTCCTCTTCCTGCAATTTCTTGTGAAGATGATTGTAGTGCTTCCACAACTCCAGGTACCGAGGAAGAGAAAGGTTTATGCACTGATTGCTCTGCGGAATCTAACAACCCATGCTCTGTAAACCAAGGTACAAACTGTCAAACAGCTACTCCTAATTGCAATAATGTATTGAGTGGTGAAGAATTAGAAGGAAAAGAGGGAAAATCCTCTAGAACAAACTCTGAAAACAGCTCTGAAGAAGGCGAAAACCGTTTAAAAGTGCAGGAGGACTGGTTTGCGGATGGAAAGAAGCACAAAAAGAAAGCCTCTTCAAGTCCGATCAAAAGACTGAGCCCCAAACTTCGGAAAAGGCTCAGTCCAAAGTTTGGTGGTGGATTTAACTTTACGTTAAGAAAGTCTTCATCATCAAATTCGTCCATTGAAATGACTGAAGGAACTTATAATTCAAATTCTGATTCTGGGATCAGTTTAAGTGTGGAGAATTCTCCTAATCGCCAAAAACTCTCTGTTGCTGGAAACACGGATAATGCTTCCAGGAATTCAAGTATTACTTCTACACCTTCATCTGGACCTTCTCCATATTTGGGATATTGTTTTAGTGGATTTGTGGTGGCAATGCACCGGAAAACGGTGAGTCATTCTTTTTCATTCGTGGTTTCCATGCTCAGGGTCAATTCAGGGAAAAATGATAATTTTTTGAAGGTCATGGAAGAGACAGGAAATTTTGCAGTGGTCAGGCAAATTTTAATTCTTGGCAAAATCATTAAGTAGGTTAGGAATCTTTATTTCTGGTTGCCACAAGGTTTCGTGAGGATTGTCTAGGTCACTGGTTCACTGACTTTCAGACTGATACTCTGGATCATGTGCAAAAATCTAAACCCCTCAATAAAAGTAAATGTAAGCTTTAGCAGATGGAAAATTAAGATAAAAACATTCCTGGCCTGCAAAATAGGCTGAGGAAAACAAGAAAGAAAATGCAAGGTCCATTGAGATTGTGTAGAGGTCAGGGAATGGGAACAGTTAATTTTTTTCTCATTCATACACCACTTCCACATTTTCGATATGATAATGCACCTTATTTGCGCCTCCCCACCCCCCAAATTTTGCATAAGCTTTGTTTTTCATTTCTCCTGGGTATTACAGCCAAGAGGAATTAAAACCAATGCTTATGCAAAATTTTGGGGGGCAAATAAGGTTCATCATTGGAAATGTGGCAGTGGCGTATCAAAGTGAGAACACTGGCATTGGCCAGTTCTTTGGAGATCACAAAATTCTATTGTTTTTAACTCAAAGTCTCAAATATCATATTGATGAGCGGTACTATATTATTTGTTCATAGAACGTAGTGAATTACAGAATAGGGGCAGTGGTGGCAATTAAGTAGGCTTTCTTTATAGCAACTCTACATTTTATAGGAAGTTATCTCCTGTACAGCAAGTTTATCTTCCTGTTGGGAAATTCTCACGCTGTAAATTACTATCTCTTTTCCATGTATCCAGCATCGCTTTGATGCGTATTTCCTATCACCACAAAAGAATCGACCTGGTCTGTTTGGAGTTCCTGTCATTGTGCCTTGCACATCTCAAACAAAACAATGTGAACTGTATCAAGGAGTCTGGACTCAAGTGGCCAGGCTGCTAAGCCCACCTGCTCCAGGGGAAACAAACTGTAAAGATGGGTAAGTGAGGAAAGCACTAGTAAGCAGTTAAAGGATTGACAATTTATTTTTCCACATTGTTTCACTGAGCTTAAAATTTACCATCTTTCATTCAGTCACCTCACAGTACGAAATTGACATTGCAGATCCTTGCATTATGCAGGAAGCGTGTCAAATATGAACCTAGTATATGGCCTCTCTCACCATGAGTTCTCTGTATCTCAAGTGGATAGAGCGCTTGCCCGGTCTTTGGGAGGTCATAGGTTCAAATTCTTTGTCCCACGTTCATGACATGCTGATTAATTCACTTTCATATCTTCTTTTTCCTTCACCAAATCTCCCCTCTACGATGGCCCAGGAGGGTCACAGTCCAGTATTGGTTTTTGACAGTCCAGTTATGATTTTACACAGTCCAGTTATGGTTTTACACAGTCCAGTTATAGTTTTACACAGTCTAGTTTTAGTTTTTACACAGTCCAGTTTTAATTTTTACACAGTCCAGTTTTATTTTTTTACACAGTCCAGTTTTATTTTTACACGGTCCAGTTTTATTTTTATTACACAGTCCAGTTTTATTTTTACATAGTCCAGTTTTAATTTTTACACAGTCCAGTTTTATTTTTTCACACAGTCCAGTTTTATTTTTACACAGTCCAGTTTTAATTTTTACACAGTCCAGTTTTATTTTTTGTGTGGTTACCAGACCTCTCTCGCGCTACTGCAACACTTGTTATCTAACGGCAGCCATTTTGTATTTCCTTGCGACGATGGATTCAATCATCAGGCAGGCTGTTCGAGAGGAACTGAGACGTTCAAGTTCTAGTCGTCCAGAAACTGCGTCTTCTACTACTCAAGATGATCAGGGAAGAAGTGAAAACGAATCAGGTGCGGCTGGATCATCACGAAGTTCGTTTTCATCACGAACAGTGGGCCGATGTTTCTAAAACGAAGACCCAAAAACGAAGACCTAAGACCTCCTGGACTAAAACTCTAAACACTTTGGATGTGTTTACGGTGATGACGACGTCAGTTTTGTTTAAATAAAAATTTCTCACACCATGTACATTCGAGAAAAAGCTGAAGTCTTGTGGTAACGTCCACATCGGAAGTTCTCTCGGGATCGAATCTTGCTAAACGGAAGTATGCTTTTCCTTTCCTTTTTTTTTCTTTCATTTTTATATTGTTATCATTATGACAACTGCTTGAGCCGTAAAAGATAAGTCATTTTTTACAATAGAGGTCAGAATAAAGTAACAGGATATAAATATAACCCCGTATGTATACGAATGAACCTTGCTTGCATGAAACTCGAAATGTACACCTTTAGTCGAGTGATGTTCTGGATCGACAGCTTTTTTTCTATTGATGAGGTAAAAAGTATTAAAAAGAGCGCGAGGTTCCCCTCTCCTTAAATTCATCATTGCTAAATGTCTCGTTGTTATTTCCTCCCTACGCCGGTTATTTTGTTTTGTAATTGATCGATACAATTGTTCGACAGTTTAGAACGCTAGAGCACGCGGTTATATTTTCTTAGCTGTCGATCGAAGAAAAGGTGGGTGATAGACTTCATTATTACAATTAAATAGCGCAGAGGAAATTCCACAACACTCCTAAATCGCCTTAAAGTTTTATTCCACAGGGGTCTTCGTTTTAGTCCAGAGGGTCTTCGTTTTAGTCCACGGGGTCTTAGGTCTTAGCCCGGGGGAGGGGGACTCGATATATCCTTGGGTGTGGAGGTGCGGCCCGGCTCCTTATACCCTGACCCTGTGTAAGACAAAAATCGCTGATTTTCCTACCCTGTTTAAGACAGAATTCCGATTTTCATACCCTGTTTAAGACATTCGTAGAACGTACGCGCAGGCTGTTTATCGTCCAAGAAAAGGTACCCTGTTTAAGACAAATATTGATAAAATCGATACCCTGTTTGAGACAAAAATTCCGAAAAACATACCCTGGCTGGCCGCACGTCCCCATTAAGCCCTTATAAGGGAGTACCCCCCTCCCCGGGGTCTTGGGTCTTCGTTTTGGAAACACCCCAAACGGCCCACTGTTCGTGATGAAAACGAACTTCGTGATGATCCAGCCGCACCTGATTCCTTTTCACTTCTTCCCTGATCATCTTGATTAGTAGAAGACGCAGTTTCTGGACGACTAGAACTTGAACGTCTCAGTTCCTCTCGAACAGCCTGCCTGATGATTGAATCCATCGTCGCAAGGAAATACAAAATGGCTGCCGTTAGATAACAAGTGTTGCAGTAGCGCGAGAGAGGTCTGGTAACCACACAAAAAATAAAACTGGACTGTGTAAAACAAAATAAAACTGGACTGTGTAAAAATTAAAACTGGACTGTGTAAAAATAAAACTGGACTGTGTGAAAAAATAAAACTGGACTGTGTAAAAATTAAAACTGGACTGTGTAATAAAAATAAAACTGGACCGTGTAAAAATTGAAACTGGACTGTGTAAAAATAAATCTGGACTGTGTAAAAAAATAAAACTGGACTGTGTAAAAATTAAAACTGGACTGTGTAAAAACTAAAACTAGACTGTGTAAAACCATAACTGGACTGTGTAAACCATAACTGGACTGTCAAAAACCAATACTGGACTGTGACCCTCTTGGGCCATCGTACCCCTCTGAATATAAGCCCCTGTCTTGGAATTGCCCTCAAATACAGAAAAAAAAACAGTTCAGTAACACATATTTTTTTTATTTGCTGAAGAACTGTTACCTGTGCCAAATGAATGCCGTCAAAAAGTGTCACAGTTTATGACAGTTTGTGTTGTTCACTCTTCACTCTTCACTCTTGGTTTAGATTTCTTCGGTCCATAGACAAATTACTTGCAAGAAAGGTTTTTTCTGCCACCTTGCACCCTAGTTTTTAAAGTTTGCATGGCAGAGTTTTAAGGAGATCTGCATCCTCAGAGCGAGTTTCAGGAAAAACTTCGTGCAAAATTACTGACATAAATTTCCTTCCAACTATAAGATAGCCCAATCGATTTTGAGACGCAAATTTCACTACAAGTATGAGCCTAGCCAATTTTATGGCACAAATTTCCCTCCATACATAACCCCCTGCAAAAATAAGCCTGTCAAAACGGGCCTTTGAAAAAATAATATAAGCCCCAGCAGTTACTTTTGGAATTTTATGGTAGCTTTGATGCACAACATATTTATGCATTGTCTCCTTCACAGCCATTTTTGTCTTGTCACGCAACAATAAAATTTTTTCAAGCATTACCCAATTGCAGTGATTTCGATACACGCAGAGATAAACATTAAAATTTGACTGTCAAATCAAACATTCCAACCCCACTTCCCATTGGTTGGAACTTCTTGAAAATAATTTTTCCTTATTCTGAGTTTTTTTGAAAACTAAATCCTTGTATTGCCAGCTAAGGAAGAAAATTGTAAAGAACGGTTAAAAGATGGGGGGAAAGCAGCCTTGTTTTTTTTTTTAAAGAGACCAGGAGTAACCTGGTTATATTTACCTGCTGCATGGATTATTCGTTAGCTTCCTTTCCTTCTTATTTCTTTTCAGAGTTAACTGAGCTAATGCTCTGACATTTTTTTTCTAGGGATGCTGGTGATTTTCCTTTTGAGCTGCGGGCAGTTCAGAAGGATGGTCTCACGTGTGCTTGGTGCCCTTGGTACAGGTAATGCATGCCTCATATCCTTCATTGCTGTGTAGTTTCATCCATATAACTGAATTTAATTGTACAGTCGGACACCCACTTAATATGGACACCTCTTTATTATGGACAGTTTTCTTTGTCCCTGGGGCAAGTCCATACATTTTCTCTTAAATCTAACCCGCTTAATATGGACACCCGTTAATGCAGAAACGGACACTTGTTTCTTGTCCAATGAACAGATTCTCGTAGAACGTTAGGAATCTCACTAATGAGGACACTTCATTGTCAACTGTATGTTGTAACAAACATTTCCTTTTTGAAGGTAAAAAATCGTCAGTTGACAGCATTTGAATGTTCCCAGCGCTACAGTACACCGGATACGATGATTTTTAGACATCAATTTCAGACTATTTTCGGGCATCAAAATAGAGAATGGTTTTGATTAAGTTGTACAGTCAACTCCCGTTATTGCGGACACCCTCGGGTCTGTGGTTTAACGTCTGTAATAGTGAAAATCCGTAATAGTGGGGTGGGAGAAAAACATTTCTTGATATTTAGAGGAGTTGCATTTATTTATATTGTACATTGTCGCCAGAACCAATTGCAGTGCAGTTTTCGCATATAAAGAGCGTCAGAACTTTATTTACAAACAAGGAAAATCATAATAGAACAGAACTTGCAAATCCCCTTCATTCACCACAACAGTCACTGAAACATTTGTAGTACACAAAAACCATAACCTACGGTACTAGAAAATCCAGTTTATGTATGTTAAGTATGATAAGTATTAGCTGGTGGGCTAATACAAGCGTTTTGATTCAGCCTAAGTGCCCTAAGTAACTAACAGAAGTGACCTTATTTCCTAATCAGATTCTGCCACGGATGTGTTATAAAATGCAGTGAACAGGAGTTTGGCTCCAGTAGTTCGTACATAGCTATTGAATGGGACCCTACAACACTACACCTCAGATACCAGAGCTCACAAGAGAAAGTCTTCACTGAACACGAGAGTGTTGAGAGGAGCAGAAAGATGCAAACAGAGCCTATTGACTTGTATGAATGTTTTAGAGCATTTACTAAAGAAGAAGAGCTTGGAGAAGATGAGTTATGGTATGGTTTTAACTCCTTTGTAAACCTTTTCTCTCTTTCTGTAAGACCTAAGCGGTGGCGTGCCTGCATCATATTTCTTGTTCATCCTTTTTTCTCTGCTGCATTGGTCTTTTGAAGAACTTGCGGTGCGGTCAAACGTGATGGGCAAATGCACCATTTACATACAAGTTTATTGAGGTCTTCGCCAAATCAATTAAAATGAGCAAATTATACTAGAGCTCAGCCTTTCATTCCTTACTTCAATATTATCATGGGGATTTGTGATATAGTTCTTAATTGTGAGTCTGTGGATGAAATCCTATGGTGTTACCATTTAATTTTAACCTCTTTAACAGTACATTCACATGTTACTATGTACCGTGTAGTTCTAACTTTTGAGTCTGTGGATGAAATCCTATGGTGTTACCATTCAAATGAAACCTCTTCAATAGTACTTTCACATAGTATTTGTTTTCAGCATAATTATTATAAAATGAAACGTGGGAAATTAATCAGATTTTTATGTTGGCCTTATTAGGGCGGATAAGTTAAATTTGGCAGGTAAAATGTATGTAGGGTGATATTTATTTTACTCATATTCTTTTTTCTTAGGTACTGCAACAGATGCAAGAAGCACAGACTGGCTGTGAAAAAGTTGGACATATGGAGTCTACCACCCATCTTAGTGAGTAACAGTATTGCTGACAAAGCACACTGTAAATATCTCATATCTTGCGAAAAAGCAGCTATCTTGAAATCAAGACTTGGGGAGGAGTTTATGCTATGTGCAAACGGACGCGACATTGGAGGCCAACAACTCCCAACATTGTTGGATGTTACATCTTGTGCCTCTTTGCACACCCTGTTGCATGTTTTTGGGAGTTGTTGCGCAAAGTTTGAAACCGGTCAAACTTAAAGCTACCGTAAAATTCCGAAAATAAGCCCCGGTGCTTATCTTTTTGAGGGGCTTATGTACGGAGGGAAATTTGCATTTCAAAATGAATGGGCCAGCCTTATAGTTGGAAGGAAATTTACGGTTTTTGCTCTGTTTTACTTTGTAAAGTTGAGGGCAATTTCTTATATGTGGAGGGGCGATTTCACGGAGGGTTTTTTGCGTTACGTGTTTCGGGGGCTTATATTTGGCGGGGCTTATACATGGAGGGACTTATTTTCGGAATTTTATGGTATGTGCAAACAGACTTAACAACTGCCAACAATGTTGGGATTTGTCGGCCAACAATGTTGCGTCCGTTTGCACAAGGCTTTACATTTAACTCCGTTTCTATTCCACTGGCAGGTTATTCACTTGAAGCGATTTCAGTTAGTTAACAACCACTGGGTGAAGTCAAATAAGATTGTTCAGTTTCCCATGGAAGGCTTTGATCCTTCAGCGTTCCTGGCTAAGCCGTCCAGAAGTGAAACATCAAGTGCCATTACGTCAGATGGCGGAGTCACCACAGTCAATGTCAAAAGCAGTGAGGAACTGGTGAACGAGGAGGAGACTGAGGAGAGGAAAGAAGCAACCGCACGGCAGGGGAGTGAAGTGAGTACAGACTGTTACGGGTAGTGTTGGGAATCAGTTTCGTAGTCGATCATCTGAAATAATCGGATTAACGTAACCAATTGAACATGGATTATAATCAGCGAAATCGCTTTATAAGAATTCCATTTATTTTTATCCTTATCCTGGCTTATAAGTGTTGGTACAGCCTAGGGATGTGCTATGAAATTTTTGACCTTCACAAAAACGTGGTTTTTCAGTCCCCAATCTCCTGCCTTAATAAAGCTTCCTGAAGTAATAGACCTTCATTCGTTCTATGTGTTATGCTGATTACTCAGTGTAGAAGATCTTGAGATGTTCTTAGGACATTTGATTCCTCGTCTTGTTAACCTGTGCACAGCAGCCCCCCGTCCCTCAAAACAGTTTGATTTAGCAACAGGACGGGAACGTCAGTTGACAACGGCGCGCGCAAATCAAACAACTGGCTTGACCAATGGCAGAGCGGCAAACTGGGCACCGAAAGACGCGTTTGTTCCTTTCCCCGCGCTTTCCCGTCTTCAACTGACGTTCCCGCTCTGTTGCTAAATCAGCCTAACAATCAGGGAGAGAATCCCTCCCAGATTTTTTAGGGAAGGGCGCGGCTGTACATTGGCCATGTCTTGTTGGAAGTAAAGAGTACGTGATGTGTCCAGTACTCTGATTCTCCATTGGGTATTGTCATGTGATCTTCAAAGGAATAGCCAAACAACAAAGTGAATACGGTCTATTTTGATTGACCCCGTAAAACTCATTCTCACACAGCTGTGGTTAGTTTTAGAGTCTCACTAATGTAAATATTTGGTTATTCAGGAGTCATCGTCCCAAAGTTCAGCTGGAGAACTAAGTTCAAGTCAAGTTGAACTCAACCAAAACAGCAAGCCTCCCTCGCGCCATTCCTCGTGTTTAAGCCTTAATTCGGCCAAGGTTCACCCGGAAGTGACGTCAGAGAACTCTGCACCTACCCCTGTAGAAAGACCAAGCACGTCGGACTTCATTGTGTCAGATTCTGCAGAATCGCAGGGTACTCAACGTGAAAATGTGCGTAAAGTGTTGGCGGCTTCGAGAAGTGAAGGCTCACAAAGTGAGATACCAACGTACAGGATATACGCCATGTCGGTATGTCGAATGAAGCTCAAGTAAACTGTTAGTGATTCGCATTGTTCAAAACTCTTTCAGTATTTCTTACTTACTCTGTTGGGTTTATTTTAGTGTCACACAGGTGTTCTGGGCGGAGGTCATTACATTTCATATGCACACAACCCAAACAGCAAATGGTACTGTTATAATGACAGTAGCTGTAAGGTTAGTACTGGATCAACATGTTTAATATGGCGGTCATACTGTTTTAAGGGTTTCTATCAAGTGGTGAACCTTTTTTAAGTGGTCAACTTGCTATTTCTAGGTTTATTTTGGTTTGACTGTAAACCATTTTCACGATGGTCCTATTTTACTACAACTAAAGCCTCGTGCAAACGGACGCAACATTGTTGGCCAACATTGTTGGGAGTTGTTGTGTCCGGTTGCACGTAGCTAAAAGTTTGACCGGTTTCAAACTTTGCGCAATAATTCCCAACAACACTCAACAACATGCAACAGGGTGTGCAAACGGACGCAACAGGTAACATCCATTTGCTCCGGGCTTTACGTGCTGGGAGTTGTTGCGTCCGTTTGCGCGTAGTTTAAGAAGGACGCTTTTAGGACCGACAATAAGTATCCGTCTATGTGTGTCTTATAGAGATTGAAATAAAGGTAGTGAAGAAAGACAGGGACCAACTCTAGGTGTCCGTCTTATAGAGGTGTCCGTTAAGAAAGAATTGACTTTATTACAACGGTTGTCGTGTATCATGGAGGTAACTAGATTGATAATGTTTTCGTTTACTTCTCTTGTTTCAGGAATGTGACAATACTAAGCTTCAAAAGGATTCGCCCTACATGTTATTCTATCAACAGGACGATCTAGAGGAAGGAATGTTTCTTCCCAACTTCAATGGTCAAACGCCTGACTCAGCCAGCGATGACGAAGAATATGAGAACGAAGTGCGTAGACTGTGCGTCGTTCAATGAAGATCCTTGGAGCCGGGGACTGGGGAAGAATCTTATAATTTATACACATTTTTTGTATTGAAATCTTCATTCAATGAATACTTACGCGAGCGTAAATTATCAGAAATGTTGTAAATATATCGACACGGAGAATTTTATTTTTAAATGCCTTTAATGCAGATGATAAAATTATTGCAACAGTGCGTACAGGGTCGCGCTTCCTGTACAAGTAAAATTTAGAGTTGAGAGATGAGAGACTGGCAAACGGGACCAAAATGCGACTGAGTAGGGAGAGGACGTGTTTGTCGCCTCAGCCTCCCCTCCCTCATTGTCTTTAGCCCTTTACCTTGGTCTTGCAGGGGGTACCCCATTTCGTACTCTCTCTGACAAGTATTTGTGTTCCGTGTGCTTTTTGTCCGTCATTTTTGTGTAAACATTTTGTTGTGTATTGTCTTTATTCCTCATACTATAAAGAAGATATGGTCCCTTTAAAGTACTTTAGTAATTTGTACTGTGAAAGATGAGGACTTCGCACGCGAAGTTGCTGTACTTAAGAATATGCGAATCAGAATGGTGTCACGGTATTCTGTGCGATCCAGGTACTTCTATTCTTGTTATTGTTGCTTCTTTTGATGTTTTTTCTTTTTGCGCAACAAAACGTTCTCCTATGAGCTGTCGTTTAAGAAGGTGCCTTTTTTTTTGTCTCGGCAGCTCATTTGGGGAAAGTTTGCTGCGGGTCCCTCTCCTAACATTCGTATTTAATTATTCCATGTTCATTCCGGCGTGATAAGCAATGACAATCTATTTCAATTGATAATAATCGATAGTAAAGTTTGTATTGAACTAGGGGCTCTGAATTAATTGTTGTCAATGTTGTTAAAAACAAACATTGTAAATTGAGCGCCCTTTATTCAACATAAAAAAACTGACAACAATATACAATATTCCTAATTCAGCACGAAAGAGTTGGAAAAATAATGCGAAAAATCCAAGTCGTGGATCGAAAACAGATTGAAAGAGAGTGTAAATTTATGTGGCCCGTGCTAGCCGGGCCGGTAGGAACGCCTGAAGTACTGTGAAAATTTCCGCGTTATTTTCAAGTGTACGCCACGCGCAAATTCTGCAGTTATTTCAGGCTGAGATTGTTAAGATTATCGAAGTAGTAACCAACGACGTTATAGTGGAATTGTTCCCTTCTCTTGTTTCACCACCGTGACATCAAGTGTCTAACTGCCTTGCAGAAAAAAAAAATTACATCTAGTGAAGCCAATTCTTGATAACACATCCAGTCCATACTTAAATGGTCTCCTCTTTTGAACCGCGAAGATTCGTCGCCTACATACTTACTCTTGACCTTTTTTTGTATTCTTTGTACTGATTGAAAGAACTTGTTTTACTTTGGGGGAGAATGGGAAGTGAATAAAGTTCACTTTAATATATCTTACTGGTACTTTGTATTTGTACCCATTTTGTGTGGCCTTTCTTGGTTAGAGTTTGTCAAGATTATTTGGTCACGACCTTTACCCTTCTCTTCATTTCTAAAGTTAACGCTGTTTGTTTGGGTGATGGGTGATGAAGAACCTTTTCCTCCATTCGAGTTTCTTGACTTTCAGTTATAAAAGTTACCAGCCAGTTACATTTCTATTTGAGCAGCAGAACGAACAAGCAAGGATCAGTTTGTTTCCTAGTTCGTTTCGTCGAGGTCCTTGAGTCCTGACCTGTTATGTAGAGCCCAAGTCTCTGGGCCCTGCTTAAATTTATAGCCGATTTTATAATAGGGAAATTACTGTGTTTGTATGAGAATGTTATGTCGAAAAACGCCTGTTCTGAAAGCAAAAAAAAATGAATTGTAGACTAAAGTTTCACAGCTAACGATTCAACTGAAAAAGATTTGAGGGCGTTACATCCAGCTACTTGCACTAGAGCCTTTTTTAAAAATTTCCCAACATTTGTCTGTAAAAATTTCTTCTTCCTGCCGACTACACAAGGTCTATTTGCAAGTAATTGTTTGTGTTTGCTGTCATGTTGTTTTCTCTTTATTGATTCTTTTTGTTTTGCATGGTTCAAGTGTTGGTGACAACGATGAAATGTCAAAAGAACTATTCCCGAGTGCACGTAGAAAGTTGCACTTCAGCCCTCATGGCGGAAAATTTCACACTATTTGCGATCGAAGAAGAAATTGCCGTACAAATGCCGAAAAACTCGGTGAAAAGAGCAAAAATACAACTCGACGAATGACAACTGCTATTTGAAGAATATGTAGTAGACTAATAATCCCTTAAATACAAGGTAAATCGACGTCTGAATAATTTCCTTACATGCACATATAAAATTATTCAGATGTATTGGGTCACGTTTCCTCTGTGAGGTTTAGCATAGACCATAAGAACTTATTTAGTTAATTGCTACGCTATTTGTTTTTCTTTGCCCGTCGTTTTATTATTTGTGAAAGGCGTTTCACTTTAACTTGAAAAATGAATTTTAGCTTGAAAGTCTGGTTGGTTGGTAACATAACCCGTCGTTTTACCTAACTTTAAACTCACAGCCGGCTGTACTTGCTGAAATTTAAGTTGCACGCGGCTTTGCCTTCATTAATAGCAGCTGTTATAATAATATTTAATAATTATTCCTCGGTCAAATAACTTTTAAGTTTTCCGGTTTGGCTCTTTAGGAGGTTTATTTGTTTTCTTAAGGAAGTCCTGCCTGATGTTCTAAGATTCAAATACCGCGTTCGATGGAAGATCATCGTATAGGGGTCGGAAAAAACGCGGGGAAGAAAACTGCATTTTTTGTAAATTTTCTTTGTGCACTAGTTTTTTGTTTGTTTCTTCCACTTTCTAGCTACTTTCTTAGCGACATTATGTGTAAGCCATACCCAACGACTTTACTGTTTTCTATACTATTCGGAGAAGCTAATAATTTCTAGGTGACCATTCCATTCATTGCACAATTTTCGAAGTTTATCTAATAAATTCTCTGCGATTTTTGAAGTTTTATTTTTTACGTTTCATTGCCCAGGTTAGGATATTTTTCGTACAAAAGAAACCTAAAATTTCCGGACTCAAAAATGTGATGGAGAGAGGAATCAAAAAAGTTTTTCACTTTCGTAATGCGCTAAATTGCATCTAAAATTTTCGGGCAAATAATACCGAAGCCCTGGCAATTTCGAAAAGACTTAAATTCCCCTAGAATGACCGAACAGATACAAATTTTATAGCTCCACTTAGAATGCATTCGTAAAGTCTTAAGAAGTTAGCCTGCGTAGCATTGCGTAGCAGGCGCCTGGAAGCAGTGGGCGAAAAAGAGAACGGGCGCGCGCGAGGGAGACACGCGCACGTTTTTTCTAAACGCCTGCTACGCAGGCTATAAGAATCAACACATTCGGTAGGAAACCGTCCTTGGGTGCCCCTGAGGAATTCAGTGGAAGTTGCAGACCAGTTTACACCGCCGGAATATGTAGCCTCAGTTCGCAGGAACTTCAGTTTTGTTCATCTGTTTTGCATATTAAACATTTTACGTAGTTTTGTTCCAAACTACCTCGATCTCAGTTTTTTGGGCGGCAGAGTCTCAAGTGAATCCTTGATCTTAAAATAAAAACGCAAATGAACCACCAACTTCATTGATCGCCATTATTTAAGTTTTCCTCATCTGTTTTGCATAGTATTTTTCGAAGTATCTTCAAGACTGCTCTCCGGATTTCCCGATTACGCCAAATATACAAGGATGGATTTATAGCGGAGTTCATAAACACAATAGTGTAGAAATACAAACTGATGATGATCATGATGTTCTTCATAAGTCACCGTAATTAGGGTGTATACAGCCGCTGGAAAATAACAAAGAAGCATACAAATGTAATATATAAATGTGTTTACAGCGCGTTTCTTCGCTTGTAACTTGCGGTTTTGTTCCGCATTCATACTCTGTACGGCTTGCTGTTGGGTGTGAATCTGATGTTGATGGTGTCGAACGATTCGATAAATTGCACTGTAAGTAATTGAAGAAATGAAAAGACATAAGGCAACAAAGACAACTACAACAAGAAGAATAGCATTTTCCTTCCAAATGCTAAGCAGTGATAAAATGACGTTTTTACACCAAAATGTTGCTGCTACACAGGTTGCACGTCTAGAGGTCATCATGTTCGGATATCGCATGTGATATCGTAGGGCCAAATATCGATCCACGCTGATGGCTGTCATTGTTTCAAGGGAAACACAGCAGAGTTGAATAGTGAGGACGAGGCTTGCTTGTGACAGACGTGAGTAAGAACTGCTTCCAGAAAGGATAAAGCGGGCGATGGCAATGTTAACTGGAAGAACGAGAAACCCAACAAAAAGATCAGAAACAGCAAGACTGCACAGCAAAACGATAGACGGAGTGCGTAGGGAAGGATTTCTCCATACAGCGGCTAGTACCAAAACATTGCCAGCGATACATATTGGTATCAGTAGAGCATTGAGGACACTATTTGTGATTAGAGAGATCTCGAAAGGTGAGGATTCTTCGTCACTTTCCAACCCACCAGGCATCATATCAGCAGTAGAGTTTGCCATCTTAAAATTTTCAATATTGTCAAATGTTTCTCTTCAAAGAGAAACTGCATATTATTTTTTATAGTTTCACCTGGCATCTTATTAAAATTATAACCACCTTGCCAGCATTTAATTCTTTAACTTATGTCCAATAGGGCTTTTCATTTAGGAGAAGTTTAATATACTTGTCCATCTTTTAAAATAGAATTGGTGATCAACGGTACCAATTTAGTCAGCGCCCATTTTCTATTTCACCAGATAAGTGTGCACAGCATGCATTTGGTCAAACTTGCAAATATATTACGCTTATCAAGTAATTAATTGCTTTAACCCCGTCACTTCGATTAAGTGACCAGAAAGGACATAAAATTAAAAGAAAAGCTTCTTCTTTAGTCCCATTCCTATAATTTTCCCCAAATACTAATAAATAATTTTAACCCAACACAGCAGGGAAGCATTGGAAGACAGCTGCTTCAGTCATTCATCCTTGTTTATTTGGCCTTTTCTTTTCGTATTTTTCGGCTGACAAGATAAAATTGTAAATCTTGAAAAGTTTCTTCGCCGTTAGGTTTATCGCAACTGTCAACCCAATTCGCAGAAAAAAAAATGGCGGAGGAAAATTTAGGAAGGGTGCCACTTGATTTGAGACACCCTTGCTTGAAAGCCACACCCCGCCCCCTTCCCCCATCCGCATTAGTTTAAATAAGCTCCCAACCTCGTTCTCAAGAGAAAGGAAAAAAGCAATAGATCAAGAGAGCCTGGGAACTTGGATGAAATACTGCATCTTTATCCCTCATATCATAGAGCTACTTGGCGGAAAAGGAAAAAAGAAAACTTTAATTAATTAGTAAAAAGCTACCGAATATAACCTTTCAGAGGTTCATTTGTCTGTAAAAATTTCTTCTTCGTGCCGACTAAAATTCCCCGACAAATATATGGAAAATCTAAGGCAAGCGCCTGGAGAAATTTTAGCACAGTTAAGTTCTGCGAAATTTGTTAGTGAAATCCTTTGCTGTATCTTTAGTTTACAATTCATATTTTTTTCAGAACAGCCGTTTTACGCAAATTATCCTTCATTAGATTCTCATACAAACACTGCAATTTCTCACGCGGTTGGCGAACTCATCAAGATGGCTTCCAAAACCATGACAAGGTCTATTTTGCAACTAATTGCTTGTGTTTACTGTTGCACTGTTTTCTCTTTATCGATTCTTTTATTTTGCATGGTCTAATTGTTGGTGACAGAGATAAAATATCAAAAAAACTATTCCCGAGTACAGGCAAGATTTGCTCTTCAACCCTTATTCGCCATGAAGCCCTGGGGATGAGCTCAGCCTAAGGTAGTAAAAAATGGCGGAAAATTTCACACTATTTGCCATCGAAGAAAACATTGCCGTACAAATGCCTAAAAACATAGCTAGAAGAGGTAAAATACAACTCGACGAATGACAACTACTATTTAAAGAATATCTGGTAGATTAATCATCCCTTAAATACAAGGTAAATCGACGTCTTAATAATTTTCATACAAGGTCATTTTTAGCATAGACCATGAGAATTTGTTTAGTTAATTGCTACCTTTTCCTTAAATTAACTCACAGCTGTACCTGCTGAAATTACAATTGCAGCTTTGTCGTCATTATTAGAAGCTGTTATATACATAATTATTAATTTTTTTCATTTCATTTCACAGTCATATTATTTGTTTCGCCGCATAGCAGATCGTGATAATACAGAATTTCAATTAGATATAGGGTGAAAAGTAAGTAAGAAATAATTTAACAAAGGAAAGAAAACGTGCAATACAAAATTAAAGCACTTACATGTAAGTTAAATCACATTGTATATACTAAGAAGGAGAGGAGAAACGCACGTCCTCTTAAAGTTACGTATAACAAAAAACTTGTAATTTTTGATAAAAAAATTAATTATTCCTCGGTCAAATAACGTTTAAGTTTTACTGTTTGACTCTTTAGGAGTTTTATTTGTTTTCGGCTTAAGGAAGTCCTGCCTATTGTTCTAAGATTCAAATACTGGGTTTGATGGAAGATCATCGTAGCGGTCGGGAAAAAAGCAGGGACCGAAAACTGCATTTCTTGCAAATTTTCCTTGGCCACTAGTTTTTTGTTTGTTGCTTCCACGTTCTAGCTACTTTCTTGGCAGCATTATCTGCCCCTGAGTAAGCTATTGAGGAGCAATCTGCTTGTAGGATCTGTAGCTCTTCTTGGTCTTTCCTGAAGGCAAAAACGCAAATGAACTTCGCTGAAATCGATGTATCAACCAATTTGTATAGGTAATAGCATGATTTGTAGTGATATTTGGCATAAATACCACGAGTGATATTTCAAAATTGTTATACGTAATTTCACGAGCCGTTAGGCGAGTGAAATTTGAGACAATTTTGAAATATCACGAGTGGTATTTATGCCAAATGTCACCTACAAATCATGCTATTAATTGTTTATACTACTACCCGCAAGGTTTGTAATTTTCACATGTAGGTTTTTCAAATTACGCTGAAATACCACTGCTCTAAGCCAATCAAATTGCAGAAATTTCTCATGTAGTAGTATAACAGTGATAACCGAAACTTAAGTTTTCTCCATCTGTGTTACATAACATGTTACTTAGTTTCTTCAACTGCCTCGATCTCGGATTTTTTAGCGGCAGTATCTGCTCCTGAGTGTCTCAAGTGAATCGCTGATCTTAAAATAAAATCGCATATGAACCACCAATTTCATTGATCACCGTTATCTAAGTCAGTTTTCCTCATCTGTTTTACATAACCTTTTTCGTACTATCTTCAAAACTGCTTCCCGAACTTCCCGATTACGCCAAAAATACAAGAATGGATTTATAGCAGAGTTCATGAACAGAATAGCGTCGGCAAAACGCCATCTGATGTTCCAATGTTCTTTATAAGTCATCCAAATTAGGAAGGAGACAGCCTCTGGAAAATAACAAAGAACCAAACAAATGTAATATATAAATGTGTTTGCAGCGCGTTTCTTCTCTTGTATCTTGAGATTTTGTTCCAAGTTCATACTTTGTACGGCTTGCTGTTGGCCGTGCATCTGATGTTGATGGTGTCGAACGATTCGATAAATTGCACTGTAAGTAATTGAAGAAGTGAAAAGACATAAGGCAAGAAAGACAAGTGCAACAAGAAGAATAGCAGTTTTCTTCCAAATGATAAGCAGTGATAAAATGACGTTTTTACACCAAAATGTTGCTGCTACACAGGTTGCACGTCTAGAGGTCATCATGTTCGGATATCGCATGTGATAATGTAGGGCCAAATATCGATCCACGCTAATGGCTGTCATTGTTTCAAGGGAAACACCGCAGAGTTGAATAGTGAGGACGAGCCTTGCTTGTGACAGACGTGAGTCAGAACTGACCTGAGAAAGCGGTGTAAGGGCGACGGCAATGTCAAGTGGAAGAGCAAGAAACCCAACTAAAAGATCAGAAACAGCAAGACTGCACAGCAAAATGATAGACGGAGTGCGTAGGGAAGGATTTCTCCATACAGCGGCTAGTACCAAAACATTGCCAGTGATGCATATTGGTATCAGTAGAGCATTGAGGACACTATTTATAATTACAGAGGTCTCGAAAGGTGAGGATTCTTCGTCACTCTCCAACCCGTCAAGCATCATATCGACAGTAGAGTTTGCCATTTTCAAATTTTCAGTGTTGTCCTCTGTTTCTTTTCAAAGAGAAACTGCATATTATTTTTTATACTCTTTCACCTGGCATCTTATTAAAAATATAACCATCTTGCCAGCATTTAATTCTTTAACTTATGTCTAATAGCGCTTTTCATTTAGGAGACGTCATACTTGATCATCTTTTGAAATGGAATTAATGACGAACGCTACCAAATAAGTCAGCGACCATTCTCTAATTTACCCCATTTCATTAATAGGTGTGCACCCCACTTGTCAAACTTGCAAATATATTACGCCTATCAAACTGAATTAATTGCTTTAACCCCGTCACTTCGATTCCGTAAACAGAAAGGACATAAAATTAAAAGAAAAGCTTCTTCTTTTCTCACTCCTATAACTTTCCCTTGCATTTCCACCACACTAGTGACAAAGAAGACCAGAGCGACCAACAAGGAAGCAAACTGGATACTACGTAGAATAAATTAGTTGAGCAAAGACTTCAATTCAACATAACCCAAATAACCAAACACAGCAGAGAAGCATTGGAAGACAGCTGCTTCAGTCATGCATCCTTGTTTATTTGGCCTTTTCTTTTCGTATTTTTCGGCTGGCAAGATAAAATTGTAAATCCTACTTTTACAAACAGAAAGTGCGGCCGTTCTTGACGTCGTTCTTATAGCGATCTTGAAAAGTTTCTTCGCCGTTAGGTTTATCTCAACCGTCAACCCAATTTGCAGGAAAAACAATGGCGGAGGAAAATTTAGGGCGGGTCCCACTTGATTTGAGACACCCTTGCTTGTAAGGCACCCCTCCCCCCTCCCCCCATTATCCGCATTACTTTAAATAACCGCCCTACTTCGTTCTCAAGAGAAAGGAAAAGAGCAATAGAGTGAGAGAGCCTTGGAACTTGGATGAAACGCTGCATCTTTATCCCTCATGTTATAGAGCTACTTGGCGGAAAAGGAAAAAAAATAACTTCAATTAATTAGTAAAAAGCTACCAAATATAACCTTTCAGAGGTTCATTTGTCTGCAAAAATTTCTTCTTCCTGCCGACTAAAATTCCCCGGGAAAAATTGCAGACAAATATATGGAAAATCTAAAGCAAGCACCTAGAGACAGTTAAGCACAGTTAAGTTCCGCGAAATTTGTTAGTAAAATCCTTTGCTGTGTAGCTTTAGTTTACAATTCATATTTTTTTCAAAAGAGCCATTTTACGGAAATTATCCTTCATTAGATTCTCATACAAACACTGCAATTTCTCACGCGGTTGCCTAACTCGTCAAGATGGCTTCCAAACCCATGACAAGGTTCATTTTGCAACTACTTGCTTGTGTTTACTGTTGCGTTGTTTTCTCTTTATCGATTCTTTTATTTTGCATGGTCTAATTGTTGTTGACAGAGATAAAATGTCAAAAAACTATTACCGAGTACAGGCAAGATATGCTCTTCAACCCTTATTCGCCGTGAAGCCCTGGGGACGAGCTCAGTCCAAGTAGTAAAAAATGGCGGAAAATTTCACACTATTTGCCATCGAAGGAAAAATTGCCGTACAAATGCCTAAAAACATAGCTAGAAGAACAAAAATACAACTCGACGAATGACAACTTCTGTTTAAAGAATATCTGGTAGACTAATCATCCCTTAAATACAAGGTAAATCGACGTCTTAATAATTTTCATACAGGCACATATTAGCATAGACCATGAGAATTTGTTTAGTTAATTGCTACGTTTTACCTAACTTAACTCACAGCTGTACCTGCTGAAATTACAATTGCAGCTTTAGCGTCATTATTAGAAGCTGTTATAGACATATTTATTAATTTTTTTCATTTCATTTCACAGTCATATTATTTGTTTCGCCGCATAGCAGATCGTGACAATACCGAATTTCAATTAGATATAGGGTGAAAAGAGAAGGAGAAGGAGAGGAGAAACGCACGTCCGCTTAAAGTTACGTATGACAAAAAACTTGTAATTTTTAATAAAAATTAATTATTCCTCGGTCAAATAACGTTTAAGTTTTACTGTTTGACTCTTTAGGAGTTTTATTTGTTTTCGGCTTAAGGAAGTCCTGCCTGTTGTTTTAAGATTCAAATACTGGGTTTGATGGAAGATCATCGTAGCGGTCGGGAAAAAAGCAGGGACCGAAAACTGCATTTCTTGCAAATTTTCCTTGGCCACTAGTTTTTTGTTTGTTTCTTCCACTTTCTAGCTACTTTCTTGACAGCATTATCGGCCCCTGAGTAAGCTATTGAGGAGAAATCTGCTTGTAGGATCTTTAGCTCTCCTTGGTCTTTCCTGAAGGCAAAAACGCAAATGAACTTCGCTGAAATCGATGTATCAACCAATTTCAGTGATAACCGAAACTTAAGTTTTCCCCATCTGTACAGATGTTTTACATAACATGTTACGTAGTTTCTTCAACTGCCTGGATCTCGGATTTTTTTGCGGCAGTATACGCTCCTGAGTGTCTCAAGTGAATCGTTGATCTTAACTTCTCAAACTCATTAATAATTCATTAAGAAATTAATGTTTAATGAGTGTTTGGAAATCGGATGAAACACTGCTTAGTATTTGCATCCTTAATTTCTCCTTCAAAAATGATTTTGTTTGAGAAGAAATATCAAACATTCGACACAGTGTTTCATCACCAGATGAAACACCTCGAAGTTCGTCAAAAATACTCCGCTGCGCGTCGTATTTTCAACTCTCTTCTCGGTGTTTCATCTGGTGATGAAACACTGCATCTCATGTTTGATATATTACCTAAAATCGCATATGAACCACCAATTTCATTGATGACCGTTATTTAAGTTTTCAAAATCTGTTTTACATAACCTTTTTCGTACTATCTTCAAAACTGCTTCCCGGACTTCCCGATTACGCCAAAAATACAAGAATGGATTTATAGCAGAGTTCATGAACAGAATAGTGTCAGCAAAATACCATCTGATGTTCCAATGTTCTTTATAAGTCACCCAAATTAGGGCGGAGACAGCCGCTGGAAAATAACAAAGAAGCATACAAATGTAATATATAAATGTGTTTGCAGCGCGTTTCTTCGCTTGTATCTTGAGATTTTGTTCCGCGTTCATACTCTGTACGGCTTGCTGTTGGGCGTGAATCTGATGTTGATGGTGTCGAACGATTCGATAAATTGCACTGTAAGTAATTGAAGAAATGAAAAGACATAAGGCAACAAAGACAACCGCAACAAGAAGAATAGTATTTTTCTTCCAAATGCTAAGCAGTGATAAAATGACGTTTTTACACCAAAATGTTGCTGCTAAACAGGTTGCACGTCTAGAGGTCATCATATTAGGATATCGCATGTGATATCGTAGGGCCAAATATCGATCCAGGCTGATGGCTGTCATTGTTTCAAGGGAAACACAGCAGAGTTGAATATTGAGGAAGGTTCTTGCTTGTGACAGACGTAAGTAACAACTGACCCGAGAAAGCGGTGTAAGGACGACGGCAATGTCAAGTGGAAGAGCAAGAAACCCAACGAAAAGATCAGAAACAGCAAGACTGCACAGCAAAATGATAGACGGGGTGTGTAGGGAAGGATTTCTCCTTACGGCGGCTAGTACCAAAACATTGCCAGCGATGCATATTGGTATCAGTAGAGCATAGAGGACACTATTTATTATTGAGGATTCTTCGTCACTCTTCAACCCATGAAGCGTCATATCGACAGTAGAGTTTGCCATCTTAAAATTTTCAATATTGTACCCTGTTTGTCTTCAAAGAGAAACTGCATATTATTTTTTATACTCTTTCACCTGGCTTCTTATTAAAATTACAACCACCTTGCCAGCATTTAATTCTTTAACTTATGTCTAATAGGGCTTTTGGAATTAGTGATGAACGGTACTAATTAAGTGAGCGCGCATTCTCTAATTTACCCCATTTCACTAATAGATGTGCACCCCACTTGGTCAAACTTGCAAATATATTACGCCTATCAAATAAAGCTAAATAATTAATTCCTTTAACGCCGTCGCTGCGATTCCGTAAACACCCTCGTACCCAGCGTCTTCGTTCCCCTTGACCAGCGGTTGGGAAACAGCTAGTCTCGTCAAGCCAGCATGCGCAGTAAGGGACGAAGACTCGAGGTTCGAGATTGTTCCGTAAACAGAAAGGACATAAAATGAAAAGAAAAGCTTCTTCTTTTCCCACTCACCTATAAGTTTCCCTTGCATTTCGAAAACACTAGTGACAAAGAAGACCAGAGTGACCAACAAGGAAGCAAGGCGCTGATACTATGTAGAATAAATTAGTTTGGCAAACACAAATAACCCAACACAGCAGGGAAGCATTAAAAGACAGCTGCTTCAGTCATGCATCCTTGTTTATTTGACCTTTTCTTTTCGTATTTTTTGGCTGACAAGATAAAATTGGAAATCCTACTTTACAAACAGCAAGTCTGGCCGTTCTTGACGTCGTTCTTATAGCGATCTTCAAAAGTTTCTTCGCCGTTAGGTTCATCTCAACCGTCAACCCAATTTGTAGAAGAAAAAATTGGCGGAGGAAAATTTAGGAAGGGTCCCACTTGATTTGAGACACCGTTGCTTGTAAGCCACCACCCCACCTCCCCATCCGCATTAGTTTAAATAAGCGCCTAACCTCGTACTCAAGAGAAAGGAAAAGAGCAATAGAGTGAGAGAGCCTGGGAACTTGGATTAAATGCTGCTTCTTTATCCCTCATATCATAGAGCTACTTGGCGGAAAAGGAAAAAAAAAACTTCAATTAATTAGTAAAAAGCTACCGAATATAACCTTTCAGAGGCTCATTTGTCTGTAAAAATTTCTTCTTCCTGCCGACTAAAATTTCCCGGGAAAAATTGCTGACAGATATATGGAAAATCTAACGCAAACGCCTGGAGAAATTTAAGCACAGTTAAGTTCGGCGAAATTTGTTAGTAAAATCCTTTGCTGTGTAGCTTTAGTTTACAATTCATATTTTTTTCAGAACAGCCGTTTTACGGAAATTATCCTTCATTAGATTCTCATACAAAGACTGCAATTTCTCACGCGGTTGCCTGACTCGTCAAGATGGCTTCCAAAACCATGGCAAGGTCTATTTTGCAACTTATTGCTTGTGTTTACTGTTAGGTTGTTTTGTCTTTATCGATTCTTTTATTTTGCACGGTCTAATTGTTGGTGACAGAGGTAAAATGTCAAAAAAACTATTCCTGAGTACAGGCAAAATTTGCTCTTCAAACCTTATTCGCCGTGAAGCCCTGGGGACGAGCTCAGCCTAAGGTAGTAAAAAATGGCGGAAAGTTCACACTATTTGCCATCGAAGAAAAAATTGCCGTACAAATGCCTAAAAACATGCCTAGAAAAGCAAAAATACAACTCGATGAATGACAACTGCTATTTAAAGAATATCTGGTAGACTAATCATCCCGTAAATACAAGGTAAATCGACGTCTTAATAATTTTCATACAGGCACATATAATTCAGATAGTTCATTTTTAGCATAGACCATGAGAATTTGTTTAGTTAATTGCTACGTTTTACCTAACTTAACTCACAGCTGTAGCTGCTGAAATTACAATTGCAGCTTTGGCGTCATTATTCGAAGCTGTTATATACATATTTATTAATTTTTTTCACTTCATTTCACAGTCATATTATTTGTTTCGCCAAACCATAGCAGATCGTGATAATACCGAATTTCAATTAGATATAGGGTGAAAAGTAAGTAAGAAATAATTTAACAAAGGAAAGAAAACGTACGATACAAAATTAAAGCTCCTACATGTAAGTTAAATCACATTGTATATACTAAGAAGGAGAGGAGAAAGGCACGTCCTCTTAAAGTTACGTATGACAAAAAACTTGCAATTTTTAATTTAAAAATTAATTATTCCTCGGTCAAATAACGTTTAAGTTTTACTGTTTGACTCTTTAGGAGTTTTGTTTGTTTTCGGCTTAAGGAAGTCCTGCCTATTGGCCACTAGTTTTTTCTTTGTTTCTTCCACTTTCTAGCTACTTTCTTTGCAGCATTATCTGCCCCTGAGTAAGCTATTGAGGAGCAATCCAATGGAAGTAGCAGACCAGATTACACCGCGAAAATTTAGCCTCTGCTCGTATGATCTGTAGCTATCCTTGGTCTTTCCTGAAGGCAAAAACGCAAATGAACTTCGCTGAAAATATCGATGTATCAACCAATTTTAGTGATAACACTTAAGTTTTCTCCATCTGTTTTACATAACATTTTACATAGTTTCTTCAACTGCCTCGATCTCGGATTTTTTGCGGCAGTATCTGCCCCTGAGTGTCCGTCAAGTGAATCCTTGATCTTAAAATAAAAATGCAAATGAACCACAAATACTATTTCATTGATCACCGTTATCTAAGTTTTCCTCATCTATTTTACATAACCTTTTGCGTACTACTTTCAAAACTGCTTCCCAGACTTCCCGATTACGCCAAAAATACAAGAACGGATTTATAACGGAGTTTATGAACAGAATAGTGTCAGCAAAATACCATCTGATGTTCCAATGTTCTTTACAAGTCACCCAAATCAGGGCGCCGACAGCCGCTGGAAAATAACAAAGAACCGTACAAATGTAATATATAAATGTGTTTGCAGTGCGTTTCTTTGCTTGTATCTTGAGATTTTGTTCAGCCTTCATACTCTTTACAGCTTGCTGTTGGGCATGAATCTGATGTTGATGGTGTTGAACAATTTGATAAACTGCATTGTAAGTGATTAAAGAAATGGAAAGTCATAAGGCAACAAAGACAATATTGCAACACTATGAATAGTATTTTTCTTCCAAATGCTAAGCAGTGATAAAATGATGTTTTTGCACCGAAATGTTGCTGCTACACAGGTTGCACATGTAGAGGTCATCAAGTTCGGATATCGCATGTGATAACGGAGGGCCAAATATCAGTCGATGCTAATTGCTGTCATTGTTTCAAGGGAAACACAGCAGAGTTGAATAATGAGGAAGATTCTTGCTTGTGACAGACGCAACTAAGAACTGACCCGAGAAAGCGGTGTAAGGGCGATGGCAATGTCAAGTGGAAGAGCAAGAAACCCAACAAAAGGATCAGAAACAGCAAGACTGCAGAGCAAAATGACGGAGTGGGTAGGGAAGGATTTCTCCATATGCCGGCTAATACCAAAACATTGCCAGCGATGCATATTGGTATCAGTAGAGCATTGAGGACACTATTCGGTATGATTACAGAGGTCTCGAGAGGTGAGGATTCTTTGTCACTCTCCAACCCACCAAGCATCATATCAATAGTAGAGTTTGCCATCTCAAATTTTTCAATTTTGTCCCCTGTTTCTCTTCAAAGAAAAACTGCATATTATTTTTTATACTCTTTCATCTGGCATCATATTAAAATTTTAACCATCTTGCCAGCATTTAATTCTTTAACTTATGTCTAATAGGTCTTTTCATTTAGTAGAAGTTATACTTGATCATCTTTTAAAATGGAATTAATGATGAATGGTACCAATTGAATCAGTGCCCATTTTCTAATTGACCCCATTTCACCAATGGGTATGCACCCCACTTTGTCAAACTTGCAAATATATCATGCCTATCAAATAATTAATTGCTTTAACCCCGTCACTTCGATTTCGGAAACAGAAAGGACATAAAATTAAAGAAAAGCTTCTTCTCTTCCCACTCCTATAATTTTCCATTGCATTTCGACCACACTAGTGACAAAGAAGACCAGAGTGACCAACAAGGAAGCAGGCCTGATACTATGGAGAATAATTATTAGTTTAGCAAAGACATCAATTCAACATAACACAAATAACCCCACACAGCAGGAAAGTATTGGAAGACAGCTGCTTCAGTCATTCATCCCTGTTTATTTGGCCTTTTCTTTTCATATTTTTTGGCTGACAAGATAGAATTGTAAATCCTACTTTCACAAACAGCAAGTCTAGCTGGCCGTTCTTGATGTTGTACTTATAGCGATCTTGAAAAGTTTCTTCACCATTAGGTTTATATGTTTATATGCGAATGTTTTGTCTCTCTCTGTAAGACCTAAGTCATGGCGTGCCTGCACCATATTTTTTGTCCATCCTTTTTTCTCTGCTGCATTGGTCTTTTGAAGAACTTGGGGTGGGGTCAAACGTGCGGAGCAAACACGCCATTTACATACAAATTTATTAAGGTCTTCACCCCATCAGTTGAAATGAGCATGATCAACCTTTCATTCCCTTTCATTACCATGGGGATTTGTAATATAGTTCTTAATTTTAGTGAGTCTGTGAAAGAAATCCTTTGGTGTTACCATTCAATTTAAACCTCTTAAGCATTATTTTTATATAGTACTATTTATTTAGTATATAGTCATAACTTTTCAGTCTGTGGGTGAAATCCTATGGTGTTACCATTCAAATGAAACCTCTTGGCAGTACATGGTATCTTTTGTTTTTCAGTATATTATAAAATTAAACGTGGGAAATTTATTAGATTTTTATGTTGGCCCTATCGGGCGGATGAGTTAAATTTGGCAGGTAAAATGTATGTTCTAAAAAGCTGATATTTATTTTATTCATATTGTTCTTTCTAAGGTACTGCAACAGATGCAAGAAGCACAGACTAGCGGTGAAGAAGCTGGACATATGGAGTCTACCACCCATCTTAGTGAGTAACAGTATTGCTGATAAAGCACACTGTAAATATCTTGCAAAAAAGCAGTTATCTTGAAATCAAAACTGTTATTATGTCAGTCATCTTACAAACGAGAACAAAGAGTTTGACCCATTCAACCTTACCAAGTTCCGTTTGCTTACAGTACACTGAGTTTCACTTCATAATGGTTCAAGAAATCTGGACTGTTGTCGTCCGTGACTGTATTATTTTATAGTGTCAGTGACAAAATTCAGTATGTTACATACACCATGCCTCTTTGCACTCTGTTACTCTGTTGGCCTCCACACTTGCCTGCCTGCAGGCCTGCCAACTTAAAAAGTGTGTCTGGTTTTAGTAATGGTATTTATTTACGGGGATGGGACATCATTCCATCACCAACCCCCCAAACCTGGAGAGCCAGATGTTGCGGCAATGGTTTATGGTCACCTCACCACTAAAAGATCTCGCCACCACATAATAACTCTGCAATAATCGACACTGTTTACTTACCTGGGATTGTTGCTTCTTCCTCAAGACCAAATATAATTCTATCGATTGTAATTGACACCTAGCGTCAAACTTGTCATATTAAGTTTTATTTTTTTGTGAATTATTGCGACTTTTTAATACCTTAATACGGCTTATTTGCATCGCTCGAGAGGTGCGATTTGTTTAAAATCCAACAGCCTTTCTTATGAAAGCGGGTTAATATTGTCACTTGAACCTTACCTCCTTAAATTTCATTGCAAATTTAAAGTGAAAGAATTCTTTTTAGAGACTTGACCTCGTGGCGATTACATTGGTGGTGAGATAGTCTGGTGGCTAGGTGACCGGATACCGTTGCAATAGACGATATTCGTATTCCCCGACGGCCCTGGTACGAGAGACTTCACAGCATGATTGCGAGGCTAAAGCGGGGAACTTTTTGGCAAAAACACAAACAAACATTGGTTAGTCGCGGCTGAATCGCTGCAAAACGATAGAAATCAGCAAAAAACTGCAAGATTTAAAAGCTGAAACCTTACAGGTAAGCTAAAGGGATATCTGTTTCAAAAAACAAAACTTCGGGAAGAGCTGGTCGTCCTAACAGCAAAATTTAGAAAGCCACGAAACCAAAAGAAGAAACAAGAAGTAATCTAGAAAATGGTATATTGTGTCAAAATATCAATACTCGAATCCTTTTTATATAATTTTCTTCTTATAGAGTGTTTTCACATGACATCACGGCGGCCATATTGGTGTCCTAAAACAATGAAACGGCGGCCATGTTGGTGTCCCAAAGCAGTCCTCTGGGAGTTGAACTCTTTTCTTATGCAAACGCTTTCTTTTGATCCAATAAATTTGCATAGACGTTGACCACGTGAGTGAAAACACTCTATTATTATTCTTTTTCTTTTGTGTGTATCTGTAGTGTGGAGTTTAAACTGCTCAGTATTATCGTCTGTACCAAACTCATTGTTCAACTGCGTGCAGGTTTTTGTACTCTCGCACAGTTGTTATCGAAGATAATGTAACTTAAATTTAAAAATAAACTTTACCGAGTCATCTTTGTTCAAACCCGTTTAACTTCCTTAAAATGCACATGGACTGTGTGCAGAACGTTAAGCCCCGTCCTGATAAGTAATTATCCACTGAATGAGTCGTTTGGTTGACTTCAAATACACAAGATTTTGCATCCGCTCTGTTAGAAAATTTCAACTGCAACTAGGTGTGATAACATCACTGTTAACTTTATCGCAAGCTTTCGATAATCACGTCTATTTCAATAAAAGGTATTCTTCAAAAAGTTTAAAGGACACTGAAAATTACAATAAAATGGCTTCGGGGAGTTTGAGAACATCTCTGTTAATATTACATGTAAATTATAAACTCGCTCACCAAGCACTCTTCTCATCAATGTAATTATGGTTAGGATGGCTGTTTTTCTTAGTAATAATGACCAGATATTCCTTTTGTTGTTTGAAATAATGATCTCTCAAGCATTTAAGCCCTTAGCAACTTTACAATGTTAAAAATTTTCCTTAAATTCGGCAAACTCAGCCACAGTTTTCTCATATTTGTTTTTCCTCTTGGCGAGAAGTTCCCCGCATGAGCCTTGCATTCATGATCAAGGCCTACTCGTCCCAGAACTGTCGGAGAATACGAATACTGTCTATTCGTCTGGTCTTTCACCCAAAACCTTCCCAGCACGGTTATAGCTACCACCCACCCGGAACCAAGGCCCCAGCTTGCATAGCTTTCAATTCAGGGTCATCAAGGTACACAAACCTCCCCTCCATGCATGTTAAGGTGCATCGCTTTGGGAGGATTTTATGCTATGTGTAAACGGACACAACAGTGGTGGCCAACAACTCCCAGCACTGTTGGATGTTACATGTTGCGCCTGGTTGCACACCCTGTAGCATGTTGTTGTGAGTTGTTGCACAAAGTTTGAAACCGGTCAAACTTTAAGCTACCGTAAAATTCCTTAAATAACCCCTGGGGCTTATATTTTTCAAAAGCCCTTTTTGAGGGGCTTATTTTTGGAAGGGCTTATATTCAGAGGGGCTTATGTACAGAGGGAAATTTGCGTTTCAAAATGATTGGGCCAGCCTTATGGTTGGAAGGAAATTTACCATTTTTGCTTTGTTTTACTTTGTAAAGTTAAGGGTAATTTCTTATATTTGGAGAGGCGATTTAACGGAGGGTCTTTTGCGTTATCTGTTTAGGGGGCTTATATTTGGAGGGGCTCATACGTGGGATGGGGGGGGGGACTTATTTTCGGAATTGTACGGTATGTGCAAACAGACTTAACAACTCCCAACAACGTTGGGATTTGTCGGCCAACAATGTTGCATCCGTTTGCACAAGGCTTTACATTTAACACCATTTCTATTCCACTGGCAGGTTATCGACTTGAAGCGATTTCAGTTAGTTAACAACCACTGGGTGAAGTCAAATAAGATTGTTCAGTTTCCCATGGAAGGCTTTGATCCTTCAGCTTTCCTGGCTAAGCCGTCCAGAAGTGGAACATCAAGTGCTATTACGTCAGATGGCGGAGTCACCACAGTCAATGTCAAAAGCAGTGAGGAACTGGTGAACGACGAGGAGACTGAGGAGAGGAAAGAAGCAACCACACGGCAGGGGAGTGAAGTGAGTACAGACATCACTCTGTTTGCCTTATGTGACAAAGTACGGTTAGGGGTAGTGTTGGGAATCAGCTGGGATCTTTCGTAGTCCTACATCTGAAATAATCGGATTAACCCAACCAATTGATCATTGATTATAATCAGAGAAATCGCTTTGTAAGAATTCCATTTATTGTTGTCCTCTCTGTCTTTCTGTGTTGGTAGAGCCTAGGGATGTGCTATGAAATTTTTGACCTTCACAAAAATGTGGTTTTTCAGTCTCCAATCCCCTGTCTTAATAAAGCTTGCTAAAGTAATAGACCTTTATTCGCTCTATGTATTATGCTGATTACTCAGTGTAGAAAATCTTGAGATGTTCTTCGGAGATTTCATTCCTTGTCTTTGTTAGCCTGTGCACCACCCCTCTCCCCTCGCCTTCCCTCAAAACAATCAGGGAGAGAGTTCCCCTCTGATTTTTTTTAGGGAAGGGCGTGGCTGTACATTATCTATGTCTTCTTGGAAGTAAGGAGTACGTGATGTGTCCACTACTCTGATTCTCCATTGGGTATTGTCATGTGATCTCAAAAGGAACAGCCAAACTACAAAGTGAATACGGTCTATTTTGATGGACCCCTTAAAACTGATTCTCACACAGCTGTGGTTGTTTTAGAGTCTCACTAATGTAATTTATTTTCTATGCAGGAGTCATCGTCCCAAAGTTCAGCTGGAGAACTAAGTTCAAGTCAAGTTGAACTCAACCAAAACAGCAAGCCTCCCTCGCGCCATTCCTCGTGTTTAAGCCTTAACTCGGCCAAGGTTCACCCGGAAGTCTCGTCAGAGAACTCTGCACCTACCCCCGTAGAAAGACGAAGCACTTCGGACTTCATTGTGTCAGATTCTGCAGAATCGCAGGGTACTCAACGTGAAAATGTGCGTAAAGTGTTGGCGGCTTCGAGAAGTGAAGGCTCACAAAGTGAGATACCAACGTACAGGATATACGCCATGTCGGTATGTCGAATGAAGGTCAAGTAAACTGTTAGTGAGTCGCATTGTTCAAAACTCTTTCAGTTTTTCTTACTTACTCTGTTGGGTTTATTTTAGTGTCACACAGGTGTTCTGGGCGGAGGTCATTACATTTCATATGCACACAACCCAAACAGCAAATGGTACTGTTATAATGACAGTAGCTGTAAGGTTAGTACTGGATCAACATGTTTAAGATGGCGGTCATACTGTTTTAAGGGTTTCTATCAAGTGGTGAACCTTTATTAAGTGGTCAACTGGCTATTTCTAGGTTTATTTTGGTTTGACTGTAAACCATTTTCACGATGGCCTTATTTTACCACAACTAAAGCCTCGTGCAAACCGACGCAACATTATTAGCCAACATCTCTCAACATTGTTGGGAGTTGTTGTGTCCGGTTGCACGTAGCTAAAAGTTTGACCGGTTTCAAACTTTGCGCAATAATTCCCAACAACACACAATAACATGCAACAGGGTGTGCAAACGGACGCAACATGTAACATCCATTTGCTCCGGGCTTTACATGCTGGGAGTTGTTGCGTCCGTTTGCGCGTAGTTTAAGAAGGACGCTTTTAGGACCGCCAATAAGTTTCCGCCTATGTGCGTCTTATAGAGATTGAAATAAAGGTAGTGAAGAAAGGCAGGGACCAACTCTAGGTGTCCGTCTTATAGAGGTGTCCGTTAAGAAAGAATTGACTTAATTACGACAGTTGTCTTGTATTATGGAGGTAACCAGGTTGATAATGTTTTCGTTTGCTTCTCTTGTTTCAGGAATGTGACAATACAAAGCTTCAAAAGGACTCGCCCTACATGTTATTCTATCAACAGGACGATCTAGAGGAAGGAATGTTTCTTCCCAACTTCAATGGTCAAACGCCTGACTCAGCCAGCGATGACGAAGAATATGAGAACGAAGTGCGTAGACTGTGCGTCGTTCAATGAAGATCCTTGGAGCCGGGGACGGGGGAAGAATCTTATAATTTATACACATTTTTTGTATTGAAATCTTCATTCAATGAATAGTTACGCGAGCGTAAATTATCAGAAATGTTGTAAATATATCGACACGGAGAATTTTATTTTTAAATGCCTTTAATGCAGATGATGAAATTATTGTAACAGTGCGTACAGGGTCGCGCTTCCTGTACAAGTAAAATTTAGAGTTGAGAGATGAGAGACTGGCAAACGGGACCAAAATGCGACTGAGTAGGGAGAGGACGTGTTTGTCGCCTCAGCCTCCCCTCCCTCATTGTCTTTAGCCCTTTACCTTGGTCTTGCAGGGGGTACCCCATTTCGTACTCTCTCTGACAAGTATTTGTGTTCCGTGTGCTTTTTGTCCGTCATTTTTGTGTAAACATTTTGTTGTTTATTGTCTTTATTCCTCATACTATAAAGAAGATATGGTCCCTTTAAAGTACTTTAGTAATTTGTACTGTGAAAGATGAGGACTTCGCATGCGAAGTTGCTGTACTTAAAAATATGCGAATCAGAATGGTGTCACGGTATTCTGTGCGATCCAGGTACTTCTATTCTTGTTATTGTTGCTTCTTTTGATGTTTTTTCTTTTTGCGCAACAAAACGTTCTCCTATGAGCTGTCGTTTAAGAAGGTGCCTTTTTTTTTTTGTCTCGGCAGCTCATTTGGGGAAAGTTTGCTGCGGGTCCCTCTCCTAACATTCGTATTTAATTATTCCATGTTTTTTCCGGCGTGATAAGCGATGACAATCTATTTCAATTGATAATAATCGATAGTAAAGTTTGTATTGAACTAGGGGCTCTGAATTAATTGTTGTCAATGTTGTTAAAAACAAACATTGTAAATTGAGCGCCCTTTATTCAACATAAAAAAACTGACAACAATATACAATATTCCTAATTCAGCACGAAAGAGTTGGAAAAATAATGCGAAAAATCCAAGTCGTGGATCGAAAACAGATTGAAAGAGAGTGTAAATTTATGTGGCCCGTGCTAGCCGGGCCGGTAGGAACGCCTGAAGTACTGTCAAGTGTACGCCACGCGCAAATTCTGCAGTTATTTCAGGCTGAGATTGTTAAGATTATCGAAGTAGTAACCAACGACGTTATAGTGGAATTATTCCCTTCTCTTGTTTCACCACCGTGACTTCAAGTGTCTAACTGCCTTGCAGAAAAAAAAAATTACATCTAGTGAAGCCAATTCTTGATAACACATCCAGTCCATACTTAAAATGGTCTCCTCTTTTGAACCGCGAAGATTCGTCGCCTACATACTTACTCTTGACATTTTTTTGTATTCTTTGTACTGATTGAAAGAACTTGTTTTACTTTGGGGGAGAATGGGAAGTGAATAAAGTTCACTTTAATATATCTTACTGGTACTTTGTATTTGTACCCATTTTGTGTGGCCTTTCTTGGTTAGAGTTTGTCAAGATTATTTGGTAGCGTCACGACCTTTACCCTTCTCTTCATTTCTAAAGTTAACGCTGTTTGTTTGGGTGATGGGTAATGAAGAACCTTTTCCTCCATTCGAGTTTCTTGACTTTCAGTTTTAAAAGTTACCAACCAGTTACATTTCTATTTGAGCAGGAAAACGAACAAGCAAGGATCAGTTTGTTTTCTAGTCCGTTTCGTCGAGGTCCTTGAATCCTCACCTGTTGTGTAGAGCACAAGTCCTTGGGCCCTGCTTAAATTTATCGCCAATTTGGTAATAGAGCTTGTCGCGGCTTTGGAAGTCATCTTGACGAGTGGGCAACCGCGCGAGAAGTTATAGTGCACGTAAAAAGTTGCACTTCAGCACTCATTCGAGAAGCCCTGGAAACGAGCTCAGCTTCAGCTAGTAAGAAAATGGCGGAAAATTTCACACTATTTGCGATCGAAGAAGAAATTGCCGTACAAATGCCGAAAAACATAGGTAGAAGAGCAAAAATACAACTCGACGAATGACAACTGCTATTTGAAGAATATGTAGTAGACTAATAATCCCTTAAATACAAGGTAAATCGACGTCTGAATAATTCCCATACATACACATATAAAATTATTCAGATGTATTGGGTCACGTTTCCTCTGTGAGGTTCAGCATAGACCATAAGAACTTATTTAGTTAATTGCTACGCTATTTGTTTTTCTTTGCCCCTCGTTTTATTATTTGTGAAAGGCGTTTCACTTTAACTTGAAAAATGAATTTTAGCTTGAAAGTCTGGTTGGTTGGTAACATAAACCGTCGTTTTACCTAACTTTAAACTCACAGCCGGCTGTACTTGCTGAAATTTAAGTTGCCCGCGGCTTTGCCTTCATTAATAGCAGCTGTTATAATGATATTTAATAATTATTCCTCGGTCAAATAACGTTTAAGTTTTCCTGTTTGACTCTTTAGGAGTTTTATTTGTTTTCTTCCGTCAAGGAAGTCCTACCTGTTGTTGTAAGATTCAAATACCGCGTTCGATGGAAGATCATCGTACAGGGGTCGGAAAAAACTCGGGGACGAAAACTGCATTTCTTGCAAGTTTTCCTTGTCCACTAGTTTTTTGTTTGTTCCTTCCACTTTCTAGCTACTTTCTTGGCCACATTATCTGCCGCGTGTGTAAGCTGTACCCAACGACTGTAGTGTTTTCTATACTGTTCGGAGGGGCTAATAATTTCTAGGTGACCATTCCATTCGTGTACAATTTTCGAAGTTTATCTAATACATTCCCTACGATTTTTGAAGTTTTATTTTTTACATTTCATTGCCCTGGTTAGGATATTTTTCGTACAAAAGAAACCTAAAATTTTCGGATTCAAAAATGTGATGGAGAGAGGAATAAAAAAATTTGTTCACTTTCGTAATGCGCTAAATTGCATCTAAAATTTTCGGGGAAATAATACCGAAGCCCTAGCAATTTCGAAAAGACCTAAGCTCCCCTAGAATGACCGAACAGATACAAATTTTATAGCGCCACTTAGAATGCATTTGGAAAGTTTTAAGAAGTTAGCCTGCGTATGGCAGGCGCTTGGAAGTAGTGGGCGCGCGCGAGGGATACACGCGCCCGTTTTTTCTTGTGCCCACTACTTCCAAGCGCCTGCTACGCAGGCTATAAGAATTACTCTGGATAGTCTAAAAAAGTGTTTTCAACGCATTCGGTAGGAAACCGTCCTTGGGTCCCTCTGAGGAATTAAGTGGAAGTTGCGGACCAGTTTACACTGCCGGAAAATGTAGCCTCAGCTCGTACGATAGCTATCCTTGGTCTTTCATTGATCACCGAAACTTAAGTTTTCTCCATCTGTTTTACATATTAAACGTTTTACGTAGTTTCTTCAAAACTACCTCGATCTCAGTTTTTTGGGCGGCAGTGTCTCAAGTGAATCCTTGATCTTAAAATAAAAACGCAAATGAACCACCAACTTCATTGATCGCCGTTATTTAAGTTTTCCTCATCTGTTTTGCATAATATTTTTCGAAGTATCTTCAAGACTGCTCTCCGGATTTCCCGATTACGCCAAATATACAAGAATGGATTTATAGCGGAGTTCATGAACATAATAGTCTCGAAATACGAACCGTTCATGATGTCCCAATGTTCTTCATAAGTAACCCAAATTAGGGCGGAGACAGCCCCTGGTATATAACAAAGAAGCATGCAAATGTAATATATAAATGTGTTTGCAGCGCGTTTCTTCGCTTGTATCTTGAGATTTTGTTCCGCATTCATACTCTGTACGGCTTGCTGTTGGGCGTGAATCTGATGTTGATGGTGTCGAACGATTCGATAAATTGCACTGTAAGTAATTGCAGAAATTAAAAGACATAAGGCAGCAAAGACAACTACAACAAGAAGAATAGTATTTTTCTTCCAAATGCTAAGCAGTGATAAAATGACGTTTTTACACCAAAATGTTGCTGCTACGTACATTGCACGTTTAGAGGTCATCAAATTCGGATATCGCATGTGATATCGTAGGGCCAAATATCGATCCACGCTAATGGCTGTCATTGTTTCAAGGGAAACACAGCAGAGTTGAATAACGAGAAACAGCCTTGCTTCTGACAGACGTAAGTAAGAACTGACCCGAGAAAGCGGTGTAAGCGGTGTAAGCGGTGTAAGGGCGATGGCAATGTTAACTGGAAGAACAAGAAACCCAACTAAAAGATCAGAAACAGCAAGACTGCACAGCAAAATGGTAGACGGAGTTCGTAGGGAAGGATTTCTCCATACGGCGGCTAGTACCAAAACATTGCCAGCGATGCATATTGGTATCAGTAGAGCATTGAGGACACTATTTATGATTACAGAGGTCTCGAAAGGTGAGGATTCTTCATCACTCTCCAACCTGTCAAGCATCATATCAACAGTAGAGTTTGCCATCTTCAAATTTTCAATATTGTCAAACTGTTTCTCTTCAAAGAGAAACTGCATATTATTTTTTATACTCTTTCACCTGGCATCTTATTAAAATTATAACCACCTTGCCAGCATTTAATTCTTTAACTTATGTCTAATAGGGCTTTTCATTTAGGAGAAGTTATACTTGACCATCTTTTAAAATAGAATTGGTGATCAACGGTACCAATTAAGTCAGCGCCCATTTTCTATTTCACCAATAGGTGTGCACCACACTTGGTCAAACTTGCAAATATATTACGCTTATCAAGTAATTAATTGCTTTACCTTGTCACTTCGATTCCGTAAACCGAAAGGACATAAAATTAAAAGAAAAGCTTCTTCGTTTCCCACTCCTATAATTTTCCCCAAATAACTAATAAATAATTTTAACCCAAATAACCCAACACAGCACGGAAGCATTGGAAGACAGCTGCTTCAGTCATTCATCCTTGTTTATTTGGCGTTTTCTTTTCGCATGTTTTGGCTGGCAAGATAAAATTGTAAATCCTACTTTTACAAACAGCAAGTCCGGCCGTTCTTGACGTCGTTCTTATAGCGATCTTGAAAAGTTTCTTCGCCGTTAGGTTTATCTCAACCGTCAACCCAATTTGCAGGAAAAAAAATGGCGGAGGAAAATTTAGGAAGGCTCCCACTTGATTTGAGACACCCTTGCTTGTAAGCCACCCCCTCCCCCCATTATCTGCATTAGTTGAAATAAGCGCCCAACCTCGTACTCAAGAGAAAGGAAAAGAGCAATAGAGTGAGAGAGCCTGGGAACTTGGATGAAACGCTGCATCTTTATCCTTCATATCATAGAGCTACTTGGCGGAAAAGGAAAAAAAAATTCAATTAATTAGTAAAAAGCTACCGAATATAACCTTTCAGAGGTTCATTTGTCTGTAAAAATTTCTTCTTCCTGCCGACTAAAATTTCCGGGAAAAATTGCAGACAAATATATGGAAAATCTAAAGCAAGCGCCTGGAGAAATTTAAGCACAGTTGAGGTGCCCGAAATTTATTAGTAAAATCCTTTGCTGTGTAGCTTTACAATTCACATTTTTTTTCAGAACAGCCGTTTTACAGGGTTTTACGGAAATTATCCTTCATTAGATTCTCATAGAAACACTGCAATTTCTCACTCGGTTGCCTGACTCGTCAAGATGGCTTCCAAAACCATGACAAGGTCTATTTTGCAACTAATTGCTTGTGTTTACTGTTACGTTGTTTTCTCTTTATCGATTGCTTTATTTTGCATAGTCTAATTGTTGGTGACAGAGATAAAATGTCAAAAAAACAAGAGCCATGGCTCCTGCCAAAAAAACTGGTAATAAATCCGTGTTCTCCTACACGAATATAAAAAATCCAACTAAAATATCTTCATGTAACAGGTAACTATGTGTCACTCAACATAACTATGCATCACTACCCATCACCACCTATCACTGTCCATCACTAAACGTCACTACATATCACTACATATCACTACACATCACTACATATTACTACAGATCACTACCCATCACCACACATCACTTCCCATCACTAAACATCACTATCCATCACTATCCATCACTACCCATCACTACACATCACTGTCCATCACTACACATCACTATCCATCACTACACATCACTACACATCACTGTCCATCACTACACATCACTATCCACCACTACACATCACTACACATCACTGTCCATCACTACATATTACTACAGATCACTACCCATCACTACACATCACTATCCATCACTATCCATCACTACCCTTCACTACACATCACTGTCCATCACTACACATCACTATTCACCACTACACATCACTGTCCATCACTACACATCACTGTCCATCACGGTATCACTGTCCATCACTACCCATCACT